ATATATAAATAAACAGCAAAGAGGAAAACAGCAAAAGCTTTATCTAATATTGAAAATTATTGAAGTAATCCGAGGCAATTCTTAACAAATTTTTAAAATTACAATGAAATAAATCACACTCATCTGCTATTTGGTTATAATTATTAGCCATTAAATAAACAGGAGATTTTACAAGTACATTTGTTCTGGCATTTCGGCAATAAAACAGTGAATTCTCACGAGAGCCAGGTCTCGGAACACGTATATTAAAAAGATATATTAAAGCCTGGGAATCAACCATGCCATGAAACAATTTATATAAAAAAGATAAACTTGCAACCACTCTTCTAGTATTCAGCGACTGCATACTGAATCTTTGTAATAGTAATTGGTGGTTGTATCCCCTGTCAGGATAAAAATTGTCAACACGAAAAGACAGGAATTTGAGAAAACGCCGCTGTATTCTTTCCAAGTGGTTACTGTATATTTGATAACATGGGTGCCAAATAAGGCTACAATATTCGAGTTTCGAACGTACGAGTGAATAGTATAGACTCTTCAATGCACCTATATCGGTATAAGATTTTGTGTTTCTTATAACAAAGCCTAGCATACTATAAGCGGATTTAATACTTGAATTAATATGATCAGCAAAAGACAATCTGCTGTCAAACATTACACCAAGATCCTATATACCATTTACAACTCCGACATCCCACATACCCCCAACACCAACATATACTTATACGCCGACGGCCTGACAATCACATCCCAATCTGTAGATCCTAGATATTCCGCCACCCTCCTCCAAAACTTCTTAGACCAACTTGAAACCTGGTGCAACAGGTGGAAAGTCAAAATTAATCCCAAGAAAAGTTCCGCTATCCTTTTTACTAAACGAAAAGTTCCACAAAACCTCGACAGACTGGCACTATCCCACGAACCCATTTCCTGGAATCGACAAACACGATACCTGGGCGTGACGATGGACCAGCGTCTCACGTGGAAACCGCACATAGTGGAGACGGTGGCGCGAGCGAAGACCACCAGGGCTAGGCTCTATCCCTTACTCAAAGGTGGAAACACCCTCAGTTTAAAGCAAGACGAAGCAAGAAGAGCGCCAGAAGAAAAGGCCCTAGTCGGCGGGGCCCAGCCAGGACAAAAGGAGGTCCCACAAAGCGCCCACACCGGCCGCATTTGCGGTCGGGTAGACGACGGATGGGGCCCACCTACTAAGGCTGTCCAGGCCTACACGAGATGAGGCAGGATAAAGGATGGATAATCCCCCTCGATCCCAAATCATTGAGGTCAATTTCTAGCCATGGAATAATGGCGCGAGTATTTGTTGGTATAAACAACAATCATAGCATGTTAAGAAATAAAAAAGTGAGGTTAAAAAACGTACGATTTCGGATAAAAGATAAAATTATTTCTACTTTTTCCGACGTCGTATGAATTTAAAAAATTTCCGATGAAAATGAACATTAAAAATTTGAATGTATATTAACCGCGCCGTTAAATCATAATAGCTTGGTTTATCATTTGAAATCAAAGTTGTGACTGCTCACGATCAGTTATCCTGAGATGCTTACGTACCTCACCGTATATTAACCAATAGGAACACTTTCGGACCTTCGTATCGTCGGAATTCAGATGCATGGGACACCGGCCTAACTCCGGCATAACTACAGCACAGATATACATAGTATAGTATAGTAGTTAGTATACTGTGGTCTCCCTGGTCCAGTTGGCCAGCCGGCTAGTCTGTCCAAAAATATAATATTATTGGATTGTTTTATTTTCCGGGGGGGGGGCGGGAGGCACCGGGAGCGCTCTGGAGGTGACCCCCGCCCACCTCTACCCCTACATTAACGGAGGAGAAAAATATTTATTATTGGCAATAATGGCAACTGAATTACTTCGGTTACTTATTTTAGTAACCGGATAATATAATAGCTGCATTTGTTTTACCACTTGGTTAGCTCAGACCAAACTAGAAGTCACCGTGATTTGAACAAACTCTAGGTTAAACAAAACATACATCTACTCCATTTATAGACCCTTATATACTAGAGGGCCTTTCGATTTGGCAAAAATAGTAGCTATCAGCACCTAATAGCAACTTAGGGTTACTCTGAACAGTTATTCAATTTCAGTTTAATTACAGGTTGTTGNACAAACTCTAGGTTAAACAAAACATACATCTACTCCATTTATAGACCCTTATATACTAGAGGGCCTTTCGATTTGGCAAAAATAGTAGCTATCAGCACCTAATAGCAACTTAGGGTTACTCTGAACAGTTATTCAATTTCAGTTTAATTACAGGTTGTTGTTGTCAATCATACTGTGCCCAACATATCTTCTTCGGATGAATCCATATCCATTATCAACGGATTATTTTTGTTATTAGCCCAGTCGGGTTGTCATTTAGCCGGGAAAAAATTAGGGACCACAATTTTATTGTTCTAACCTTTAGGGGGGGGGTCAATAGTAGTGTANAAAAGAAAACATCTATTTGTTTACATGGAGTTCGTGCTTCTTGCCTTCTTGTGTGTGTAGTCTCCATGACGGCAGTTTTCAATACTCTTCATATTTTTAACGTTTTCAATGGTCAGTGAGCATTAATAATAATAATAATAACATATCTTTAATAAGATTTCGAGGCACAAAGTTAAATAATTCAGAATATATAGAAACGGAATGCCTATACAACCAAATATGATAGCTCAGGTAATGCAGTATATTTATTTCACAAATAAACATTACTTGTACAACATAGCAATTCTGTCAAATGTTGCGTTTTTTAATTTGTGTATAATATAGTTTATAAATAACTAGCAAAAATTAGTTTAAATCCAGAAGCAAATTTAACTAAACAAACCTATTTTTTTTAATTAGAAAAAAATCTGCGAGATAAATTTTAATGCAACTACTAAAGGATAGTCTTAGTTTCAATTATTTTTATGTCTAGAAAGCGATGAAATCGACCACCCTATTAATATTTTATTATTATTTTGGAACTTTTATATGAAGGGCAATATTGAAAGAAAACCTGCGTTTGAAAACAAATACAGTATATATTTTTATATATACAAAAAATGTAGACTTGTTTTTGAGTAAATGCCCTAAATATTTTTTTAACTTCAACTCCATGAAACTTCTAAACAGTTAATAATTTGTCAGATGTTTATAAGGCAAACTTACAACATTTTTGATATTCTTCCTCTAAATATGTTTCTACTTGTTGGAAATCGCCCTGTATATTATCAAAACTTTTTATATGTAATTTGGATAATTTGGTTTTTGTACATATAAATAAAGTAAAAATCTGTTTTATAATAAAAAAAAAAACGGAAATTTAAAATTTGGTCAAAGGAATTCATGAGAAACCCCAAGGGAAAGTTGGGGAATTCAAGAGGAAGTCAAGGGAACTTACAGAGAAAATTAGGGGAATCCCTTGAGTGGAGGAATTCTGCTATACAAAGTTATAACTGCGGTTTACCTCTCATGAAATAAGTAGTTTTATGTAATAATTGTTGCATTTAATTGTAATCAAAGTTTTGGTTACTCGAAGGCTTGTACAGCAATCAACAACCAACAACTATTTTGTTTACATTGTAAAGTGACAGCCGAGTTGTGTGGATGTTTTGAAAGTTCAGTCAATTGAAGTTTAATAGATACTGCAATAAAATGAGCGCATTATATGTTTATACCTCGGTTTATACTTTCCAAAAGTTGGCAGTCCATGGTATAACATGTAGGTTCATCAACAGAGCTGTTCCCAGGTGATTAGAAGTACCACTTTTGATTATTTTGTGACAATTTAAGTATAAATTAATTCGGCTGTGATTGATTCAGTCATTTTCATCCTGTACTTTAAATTATGTCATCATCATCCAGTATATTACCTTTTTTGTGTTATGTCAAATTGACATTAAGGATTGAATCGATTATAAACTGAAATTCAAAGGATTTATAAAGTATTTATTACAGATAAGAGCAACATGTTAATATCAAGGATCATTGTTAAGAATGACTAATTCGGATTGATTGATTAGAATATTGATCTCAATGCAACCAAGCGAGAGGCTTATTAATTTTACAAGGTGCATAACCGACACAGAGCAGGGGCACGTAGAGGAACCCAAAATATGATGATTTAACGCAACTTACCTTATACTAAGTTGCACCCTTGAGAAGTTATAGACCTTGAAAGTGGAGTTTCAAATTTCGAGAAAAATCAATATTTGAGTTATACTTGAACTAAGAAAAACCAAATTTGATACACGGTGTGAGTGTACCAAGAGCATTAATCGACAGTAAGTAGAGTTCAATTGAAGCATTTTAAAGGGTTGATAAGGAATGCTGCACTACTAAAATGTGACAGAATTTCCCCCGTTGGGGGATTTAAAAATTTATTACTTTATTTTATGAGAAATTTAATTCTAAAACATTTCTTACTCGTGTTAGTTTTCAAATACTTTGTCATTTTCAACAAAAACACGATTAACTAATAATACGTAGTGTAGCTGTTATTTAAAATCATCGAAAATTCAAAGGTTGGCTATGAATTTAAACGTCAAACTTGACGATCAGGAAAAAAAGTCATTTAGCGAACAACTTGAAATATTATTAGTGCTAGGTTTCTGTGAAGGAAACTACAGAAGAAGTGTCGAAGAATATCGGAGAAGATTACCAAATTTTGTAATCCCCCATAGAAAAACATTCTCCTTTGTTGGAAGGCAAACTCAAGAAACGGGCAAGTTGCTCAGTAACACTCGAGAACATGCCATTGCAATCAGGGCACAAGACGAAGAATTTATTTTGAATACAATTATTGAAGATGACCCACATATTAGTACTAGAATTCTATCTAGACAAACTGGTATATCGCAAACTTCTGTGCACCGAGTGATCAGACATAATCTACTACACCCATATCATATCCAAAAAGTGCAAGAATTGTTATCGAATGATTTAGTTATTTCACCCGCAGAGGTATTACAAATTTACATAGCAATCATGACTATTCCGATGTAAACCCTCATTCAGTAATTCCTCAACATTTCCTACGCGAGTTTAAAATAAATGTTTGAATCAGTGTTATTGATAGGTATTTAATTGGTCCAGTTATTTTATTGAATCGACTACATGGTGAAACTTATTTAGAATTTCTCCTGGATCTACTTGACGAGGTGTCACTACAACTCTGTTCATTGGTTTATGCATGATGGAGCACCTCCTCATTTTAGTAATATCGTTAGAGACTTTTTAAACCACCAGTATCCAAATAAATGGATTGGGAGAGGGAATAATTGCCCACAAGTTTGGTCTCCACGATCACCAGACCTCAACAAATGTGACTTCTTTCTTTGGGGAACGTTAAAAAAAATTTGTGTATTCCTTGCCAGTTACGTTTCGAGCAGAATTGTGGAATTCAATTATGGATAAATGCACATTCGTTAGAAACAATCAGCAGTCATTGGGTAGAGTAGACTTCAATTTTCGACAAAGGATGCCTGAGAGAAAACGGTGATCATTTTGAACAATTTCTATAACTTACCAGTGCAAATTGTTATGTTATTTCTGTTGTTTAAGTTGTTTGTTTTTCTATTAAATTAATATTGTTCCAACTTTTTTCTTGATTATCAAGTTTGACGTTTAATTCATAGCCATCTTTTGAATTTTCCATGTTTTTGTTGATAAAGTTTTTTAAAAACTAACAAGAGTAAGAAAAGTTTTAGAATTAAATTCCCCATAAAATAAAGTAATAATTTTTTAAGTCCGTCGAGTAAAAAAATTCTGTCACATTTTAATGGTGCATCATCCCTTATCAACCCTTTAAAATGCCTCAATTGAACTTACAACTTACTGTCGATTAATACTCTTGGTACACTCACACCATGTAAAGAGTGACTGCAAAAAAAGCCATTTTTCCGCCTGTTTTTGAGACTGACAGCGGCGACAGGGAAAATCCTAGAAATATTCTAAAAATATCCAAATACTCATGAAAAATGAAAATGAGCATCACTCAGTTTTTCGAAAATTTTCGCAAATCGCCCTTATTTAGGGGTTGAAAAGACAAAAAAAGTGAACAAATTAAGAATCAGCAACAGTTGTAATACCCCAAATATTTCTATGTTGTTATCAAAATAATATTATGAACGTGAAAATATCTAATTTCTTATTTGATATGGTCTTGTCCGGATTGAAAATCAACCCATAATATCCCTAAAGGGGTGAAATCATCCCCTAAACGCCTAAAAATGCAAAAAATATATTGAAAGTTACAATTTTTATTCTTTTTCTTTTATACATGACAATTGAACCATTAATAGCCCACAATCACTAGATCCGAAGGAAAATACCCCTAAATGAGCGTAAAACCACACCTAAGTTCAACCATCGGTTTCAAAGTGCATAAAATAATTATAATGCATGAAAAATATAAATAACGAAAATACATTCATTAGAATAATTTATACCCAAGTACTCCCATACATTATCAATCATTTAAAAAAATAATCGTCCCTCAAGGGGTAAAATCATCCCCCAAATATACAAAAATTGTAAATAATGTGAAATAATATTATTTTGATAACAACATAGAAATATTTGGGGTTTTACAACTGTTGATGATTCTTAATTTGTTCGCTTTTTTTGTCTTTTCAACCCCTAAATAAGGGTGATTTTCGAAAATTTTCAAAAAACTGAAAGTGATGCTCATTTTCATTTTTCATGACGAGTTTTTGGATATTTTTAAAACATTTTTAGGATTTTTCCTGTCGCCTATGTCAAAGTATCAAAAACAGGCAGATTTTGCGGTCACTCTGTGGTTTTTCTAACTTCAAGTATAACTGAATTGATTTTTTTTTTTTAAATTGAAACCCCACTTTCAAGGCCTATAACTTCTCAGGAGTGCAGCTTAGTATAAAGGTAAGTTGCGTTAATTCACCATATTTTGGGTTCCCCTGCTCTGTGTCAGTTCTTATGCAACACACCGTGTATAATTATCAATTTGATGTAGTCCTGCCCTAGAAGTCTGGACTAACTTCTTTGTGTTAGATGCAATGATGTATAGTCGCGTCAAAGTAGGTTTTCACCTTGAACTTTGCCGGGACAGGTCCGATTTGGTTGATTTTTTGTGCAAAATGTTCATTGAGACACTACTATCAAAGTTGGCCAAAATCTAGATTCCCCCCCCCCCCAATTCCGCCCGGTGGGGGGGAAATCTTTGCTAATCTCAACAAGGTACATTCTTCATAAAGCTGGGTTTTGAACCCCCAGACGTCCTTTTACACACCCCTGGGAAGGTCGCAAAGGCGATTCGACCCGAAAAATGGATTCAGGGCACCTCAAAATCCCCAAGTGGAACATTTGGCCCGCTCGGGAAGGCAGCTTTATGAAGAATGTACCTTGTTGAGATTAGCCAAGCCCCCATTGGGGGGGAATTCGGGGGGGAGGGGGCATCTAGATTTTGGCCTGCCTTGATAGTAGTGTCTCAATGAACATTTTGCACAAAAAATCAGCCAAATCGGACCTGTCCCGGCAAAGTTAGAGGTTTTTGGGTTCTTAGGCCTACTGTAATAATTAAAATGAATCAAAGTGCCTGTTATAGCAAACCGTAAAAAATATTAGATGTTATGTTTTATTATCTTTTTTCATTATTTTCTATATCTTGTTGCCTTTTACGCAGACACACCAATGGATTTTCGTTCCCGGCACGCTTCATCCCCTTTACTAGTCCAAAAGCTAACGATGAATCACTTTCTATAATTTCGACCGTGGAGTATAGTATTGCATATTTTCATTTTACTTGTTATTTAATAAGGTCTGTTCTCAAGTTTCCCTTTAACTAAATTCGTGGAATGTTTAAGTTTGTAAAACAAAGATTATTGTAGTCAATTTCATAACTTTATTCAATTGGCCAAGAATAAATAAGTTGGTGTTGACTTCTGATATAACCAAACCTTATGAAAATAATTTCAATGAATTGGACTTGTAACGAATGGTTTCAATCAATAACGATATAAATTTTGCAGAACGCCGTCGAGCCAATGCAAGTCGATGCTCCACCTGAGGATAACGATAATAACGAAGAGGAGAACTACACAGTTGAAAATCCCTCCTTAGATTTGGAAGTATATGCTAATAGCTATATCGGTTTAGCCAAATTATACCGCCTTATTTATATAGCGGATCATTGTCCTTCCCTTAGATTAGAAGCACTTAAAATGGCCATATCATACGTTATGACGACATACAATGTTAACTTATATCAGGTACTTCATCAAAAGTTAGGAGAAGCTACGACGGCTATGAGCGTCCCCGATGTAGCAGCCCCATCGACTTCTCAAGATATTCCTACTATGGATAGCATGTGGATGGAAACCAGATCAAAAAAAGCTGCTCTAAAATTAGAAAAGTTGGATAATGACTTGAAAAATTACAAATCAAATTCTATAAAGGAGAGTATTAGAAGGGGCCACGACGATTTGGGGGATCATTATCTGGATTGCGGAGATCTGTCAAATGCTTTAAAATGTTATTCCAGAGCTAGGGATTATTGCACGAGCGGAAAACACATAGTCAATATGTGTTTAAACGTTATTAAAGTGTCTGTACATCTTGAAAATTGGTCTCACGTTTTGAGTTACGTGTCTAAAGCTGAAGGGACGCCAGATTTTTCCGATACTCAAACTAAAGATGCAAATCAGATAATTCTGACGAAACTAAAATGTGCTGCCGGATTAGCTGAATTGGCTACGAAAAAGTTCAAGTCAGCCGCAAAACATTTCCTACAAGCAAATTTAGATCACTGTGATTTCCCAGAATTGCTGTCTCCAAACAACGTTGCTATGTACGGCGGACTCTGCGCACTTGCCACTTTCGATAGACATGAATTACAAAAAAATGTCATATTCAGTAGTTCCTTCAAACTGTTTTTAGAATTAGAACCTCAGTTACGGGATATAATTTTTAAATTTTATGAGTCAAAGTATGCGTCATGTTTGAAATTATTGGACGAAATCAAGGACAACATTTTATTGGACATGTATCTTGCCCCTCACGTAAATACATTGTATACCCAAATTAGAAATAGGGCCTTGATCCAATATTTTAGTCCTTACTTATCAGCAGATATGCATAAAATGGCTTTGGCTTTCAACAGGACTGTTTCTGCTTTAGAAGACGAATTAATGCAGTTAATACTAGATGGTCAGATTCAGGCTCGCATAGACTCTCATAACAAAATTTTATTCGCTAAAGATGTTGATCAGAGGAGTACCACATTTGAAAAAAGTTTGTTAATGGGAAAGGAGTACCAAAGGAGAACTAGGATGCTAATTTTAAGAGCTGCAGTTTTAAAAAATAAAATACATGTTAAGGTAATTTCCAATTTGTTAGTTACTAGACAAAAATAAAGGTCATGGGTCACAATGAACTTAAATTTTAATCACGTAAACGTGTTTATAAGGTTTTCTTAAATTTTAGTTACTCTAGGTCAATTTGAAATAATACAAGTTTGAATGTAATTAAAAAAATTACAAATTAAATACCTATACAGGCTGTTACAAATTCAATTCTCTCACTACAGGGATCTCGGAAATGGTAAGAGATACGAAGTAGCTTAAATGTGGGCAAAGTAGCATAATCAGGGGACCAACATTATGCCTCTAAAAAATAAAGGCTAATATGATTAGTGTTCAAAGTACTGTGCAACCTCTTTAATCCAAACACCACATTGCCAGGCATGTATATTATGTAAGTACATACACATTTTATTATAATAATATGTATAAATATAAATCATATAAGACACAAAACTTATATAAGGTAAAACATAAACATGTAGTTATATATACATATATGTATTATTTTACGCTTTTCACATTTTTGATTTGATTAACGTGTGTTCGGATTAAAGAGGTTGCACTGTATTTGAAAAAAAACTAAACTTTGGAAATTCGTTTTTGTTTCATATCAACCTTGTTTGAGGTGATATTGAAAAAAGAAGAACACTTTCTCATGGCAACTTTTTGCCCTCTATCGAATGGCATGATCAATTTTTATATGCAACGTTTTGTCTCTCCAGGACCATCATCAACTTCATTTTTTTTAAATACAACCCTGGAAATTTTATTACATTTTTTGCAAGCCTTCATGACCCTCAATACTGTACTGCCTCCACCCGAACTAGATTCAGACGTTTTGTCTCTAAAAATTCATCTTCAATGTATTTCATTCCAAAGGAGGCCGGTTTTTGCCCTAATTTATTTTTGGATGAAAAAATCGGAAAAAAGTTTTTACTACCTACTAGCAATACTCAATCATTTCCACCCTAAACGGACCAACCCCCTCACCCTCCTTTCCCCCTCCACCCCCTTAAATGCCGGGGAAACCATCGCTTATTAGAGGAATCTTTAAAGAGCTTAGAGATGCGAAAGACAATCAATTCCTATGAATCTTACATATGAAGAGTTTTTTGGGTGGCTGATCACGAATTTGGTCTCAGAATCACGAAATTCAAAATGGCGGACAAGAAAAATGAAATGTCTTCAAAATGCATGAATTTTTTTGTAATGGGTTTTTTGGGTATATGATTACGAATCTGGCCTCTAAATCACTAAATTCAAAATGGCGGATTCAATATGGTGGACAAAAAAATTAAAATGTCTTTAAAATGCATACATTTTTGTGTAGTGGGGTTTTTGGGTCTGATCTGAAGGCAGAATTATGAAATTCAAAATGACGTATTCCATATGGCGGACAAAAAAATTAAAAAGATCTTCATAATCCTCAAATATTTGTTTATAGAAATCTTCTAGATCACTGATTACAATTATGAATTCAGAATCACGGAATTCAAAGTCGCTAATCAAATATGCACAAACATATAAACATATAATTATTGATTTTTTCTTTTTCGATTTATTCAATGTGTGTCATCTTATCATATGGATAACAAGGGACAAGTTGATGTGGTGTATACAGACTTTTCGAAGACTTTTGACAAAGTTAATTATGGCATACTTCTTAATAAGTTAAGTTTATTCGGTTTAAACGATAATCTGATTCTTCTCATTAATTCCTATCTTTCTCAACGTGAACTATATGTTTCATATAATGGATTTAAATCTGAAAATTTTATAGCGACATCTGGAGTACCCCAAGGGTCAAATTTAGGGCCACTTCTTTTTATTTTATTTATTAATGATTTATCTCTGTCTTTAAAATCTAATCATCTATTTTTTGCCAACGATTTGAAGCTGTTTCTCATTGTATCTAATTTGGAAGATTGTTTAATACTACAAGAGCAGGTAGATCTTGTAAGTAGATGGTGTGGAAATAATCAATTACCTATTAACATAGATAAGTGTAAGGTCTGCACGTTTATATCCAAAAAAGAACCGTTAGTATTTGGCTACACTGTTGAAAATGCGTTACTAGCACGTTGCGGTAATGTTAAGGATTTAGGTGTAATATATGACAATAGACTGTCCTTCACTGATCATATCAATGCAATTATAAATGCGGCTAATAGAGCTTTGAGTTTTATAGTCAGAAATTCAAGTTCTTTTAATGACGTAACTGCATTGAAGTGCCTGTTTTACTCATTAGTTCGTTCTAAATTAGAATACTGCAGCCTTATATGGTACCCTTACTACCAGATACATACTAACAAGCTTGAAAAAGTTCAATGTCGTTTTCTTAAATTTTTAAGCTTTCAAATTGATGGTTATTATCTAAATAGAGGATATGAACATAGGCTGCTGTTAGATCGATTCAAAATGCAGTCTTTGCAGAATAGAAGAATACTCAATAGTTTATCTTTCCTATTTAAACTTTTTCATGCCAGAATTGACTCAGCATATCTACTGGGTTCTTTCAATATACGAGTTCCTAGACATGGGTCTCGTGCTGATTCCATGTTCTATTGTGGGAATGCTAAAACCAACATACTTCTTAAATCTCCCATCTGTTATGGCAAATAATTATAATTTAATATCTACGCAGTGTGATATAAACCACTGTACCATAAATAATTTGTTATCTGTAGCAACTCAATTTTTTAATTTAATAAATTTTAATTGATATTGTAGAAACTAGAACGTATTTTGTAGTTTATATATCTATTTGCATTTATTTAGAACTATAATTTTTTATATTTTTAGTGTTTTGTACTTTAATGTCTATACTTTTTTGTCCTGTAATTGGAACATTTGTTCTGTTGGGCAATAAATGCATTATTATTATTATCTCATTTAAGGGGGTGGAGGGGGAAAGGGGGGTGAGGGAGTTGGTCCGTTTAGGGTGGAAACGATTCACTATTGCTAGTAGGTACTAAAAAAATTTTTTTCAGATTTTTTTCAGGCAAAAATAAATTAGGTCAAAAACCGGCCTTAGAGGCCCTCCTCCTTTGTCTAAATTTTTTATTTAGATTTCACTGTTTATTGAATTATCGTACTTTCTAAGTGTCGCTAGACCTTGCGAAATCCACCTAGTTATTTAAACTATTAGCATCACATGTTACAATAAAATATTAGTTTTAATCTCCATTTCCATTTCCAAAATTTTTTTTCTAAATATTTCAAAAATTAATCATGTTAATCTTGATTTTTTAGAATCATAATATTGGTCTCCTGATTATGCAACTTTGCCCCCGTTTAAGGTACTTCGTATCTCTTACCGTTTCTGAGATCCCTGTAGTGAGGTGCGAATTTGTAACGGCCTGTACACAATGTGCCCCACGATTGCGTCCTGAAGAGGAGAAACTTTTCTTTATAAATTTATCAGAAAATGTCACTATAAAAGTTCCTATTTGTTTTAAACTTTTAAAAATGTTTTCTTGATTTTTTATACAGGGTGTTGCGTTTTTTTAAATTTAGAAAAATGTCACTAATTGATATTGCTAGTGATCCCAAGGAAATCATAAATATATTTTAATTATTTTGTAAAAAAAACCTTATTTCATATCATTTAACATGAGATAACATGATCCTTGTAATTACAGGGTGTTTGCAAATAAGTGTGAAATATTTTAAGGGGTGGTTGCTGAAGTTATTTTGTGAAAGAAAGTTCATATAAATGTAGGTCGAAATATGCTTTGTTTCCGAGATACAGTGTTTAAATTTTAATTTTTTATTAATTTTTTCGGAGATTTAAAGGTATTGACTCGAAATTTGTTGGTTGTATATTATTTAGAAATATTGACAATAACCTACTAGATAATGTATCGATAGAAATGAAAAATACACAACTTGCAATAAAATGTTTTATTTTCTTTCTAAAAAATGATGCTTCCTACGAAAAAAATTGAAGAGACCAATTTCATTCAGAAGTGATGGTGGATTTCTAAAAAAATATGAAAACGGGAAAAAGCCAGTGGCGTACCATTTTTTTTTTATTCAATAAGGTTGTGACGTTCTCGCACGAACGCCACTGGTGCAAGTAGAAATATTCGGATCACCCCATAAAATGCACACTTATCCATCCAAAGTGTTTTTTAAATTTTGAGTGAATATCGTTAAAACTGAAATAATTAATAAAAAAAAATAAATAAATTTAAACTGTATCTCGGAAACAAAGCATATTTCGACCTACCTTCATATGAACTTTTTTCCACAAAATAACAGCCAACCACCATCTAAAATATTTTGCACTTATTTACAAATACCCTGTATATCAGAAGCAAATGATTATTAATAAAAAAAAAATCATAAAATTTTACTGAAATTTTCTGTTTTGTTATTGGATTATAGATGTATTTGAAGTTACGAAATCATGCTTGATATTATAACACTGGAAATGGTATTCTTTTCGTGTTATTCCTTACAGGTTTTGGAATTTTGGAGAACATTCAGAATTCTAAGATTATAATATTGGAAATCCGGTTTTGTTTCATTTCAGCTTTGTTTGAGGTGATATTGAAAAATTAAGAACACTTTTTCATGGCCACTTTTTGCCCTCTATCGAATGGCATAATTAATTTTTATATGTAACGTTTCGTCTCTCCGGGACCATCATCAACTTCATTTTTTTAAATACGACCCTAGAAATTTTATTATATTTTTTGCAAGCCTTCATGATCCCCAATACTGTACTGCCTCAGCTCGAACCAGATTCAGACATTTTGTTTTGAAAAATTCATCTTCAATGTATTTGTTCCAAATTTATCTAAATTTTTTATTTAGATTTCTTTGTTTATTGAATTATCGTACATTATAAGTGTCGTTAGACCTTGTGAAATCCATCTATTATAGTTATTTAACCACGCATTACAATAAAACATTTATTATTATTAACTATTAAGTTGTTGCATCAAAATTAAAACATTATTACAGTTTTAATTTTATTATGACAAATTAATTCTTAAAAATGCATATGAACAACCAAAACGCCAACTGAATATTATTCTTTAAAAAATTTCAGTAAATGTTCAAAAACACTCGTTTTGGCAAAGGTTGAAAATGAAGATCAGCGTAATATTATTGGAATTTATTATATCTGTACCTGCAACTATGGAAGAGCATGTCAGATGTATTTGTATGAATATCCTGAAAAAAAATAGATCGGAATTTGTTTGAATTTTGAGCATCGGAGAAGCCTAGAAATAACTATAAGCACGGGCTTAAAACTCTAATCATTTTTTATTTTAATGGCGTGGTGGTAATAGTTTAAATAACTAGATGGATTTCACAGTGTACGATAATTCAATAAACAAATAAATCTAAATAAAAAATTTAGATAAATTTGGAACGAATAAACTGAAGATGAATTTTTCGAGACAAAATGTCTGAATCTGATTCGAGCTGAGGCAGTACAGTATTGGGGGCCATGAAGGCTTGCAAAAAATGTAATAAAATTTCTAGGGTCGTATTTAAAAAAATGAAGTTGATGATGGTCCTGAAGAGACGAAACGTTACATATAAAAATTGATTATGCCATTCGATAGAAGGCAAAAAGTAGCCATGAGAGTGTTTTTCTTTTTTCAATATCACCTCAAACAAGGCTGAAATGAAACAAAAACGGATTTCCAAAATTTCGTTTTTTTTTTTCAAATATTTCGAAAACTGATCATGTTAGCCTTGATTTTTTAGAGGCACAATGTTGGTCCCCTGATTACACAACTTTGCCTCCATTTAAGCTAGTTTGTATCTGTTACCGTTTTCGAGATCCCTGTAGTGAAAAGCAAATTTGTAACAGCCTGTATAGAAAACGCTAAAGTTTAAAGTATTAGTAAGTACTTTGTTTTTATTCATACCACCCAATATCTCTTAATGACTCTATTTTATATTTCAACAAATTTGGGTAAAATCAAGTAGTAACATTTTTCACAAACACGAATTTTCTTAAATGACATATTCTCATAAATAAAATTTTCCTTCTTTAGGGCACTATGTGTACAGTCCGTACGATATTTGTTCAGATAAAATTCTATGAAGACCTCTGCGTCACTTTCTTGGAATTAACCGCATTCGACACCCGAGGTAGAAAAACATTGACAGAAAATTTCCAGGCACGCCTTTACCACGGTAAACTGTTAAAAGTGTTAAAGTAGTTCCGATAACAGAACTTTATCGTTTTCTTGGAATTCAATTTCAACAAATATTGTATGGACTGTATAGGTACTGTATATTTAATTGTTTTGAATACAAACATATTTTCATTTACCAATTTTTCATCCAAGAAATTGGCGATTTAACAGGTGAGGTGAGTATAATATAAAAATTGTTAGAATTTTCTACCTTCAATAAAATAAGAAATTGAAGACTAAAACCGTTTCTAAATTATTAGCCGATTTTGGGCATTTTTTCTGTTCAGTGGTATGAATGTTAGTTACATTCAGTATTGGCCTTAGGGATATATTGGTTTATATTCAAACTTGCTAGACATTTTGTAAATATCACTCATTTTTGTTTTGATTTTTATTCTAAAAGTTTACAAATTTACGTTCTGCCAATAAATTTATTGGGTGAAAAATTGATAAATGTAAAACGAGCTTAAATCAAATAACTATTAACATTATTACAGAGCCCACAAAGGGAATCGAGTCAAGCAGTAGAGATTACAGTAACACCAGGTACAAGTAATGTTTTAACGGCAAGGAATTAAAACAATCATGTAACATTTTGCATCGTATAATAAAGTTTTGTTATTTATTGTTTCCATCTTTAATTTTTATAACCTCTTATTTTTATATGCTGTGTATACTTGTCAGTATATTGTAAATTATAAAAAAAAATTGAGAGTATACACATTTTAAAATCATTTTGTACTGGGTGATAAAAAAAAAGGTAAAGGGAAACATGTACTATTTATTTAAATAGAACTGTCATATTCCACCCTTCGAGCGAGCTTCAGGATTTCAGAACAACCAGTATATTCCTAGAAGTCGTCTTGTACCTACAGATATGCCGGAGATCATTGAATTGGGAAGGAGGAAGACACTCAAATTTGCCTACCTTTCCAATCCAAACCGAAAACCCGCCATGGTTGCGAAACTAATCGCCGTCGGCCGGGCAAATCAAAAAAGCCTCCACGGTATCATTTCAGACATCGAACTCGATACCCTCAGAGAGCAATTTCCGCGACTCTGCATCTCAGTGCAGACGTCGCCCCATAACACGACATCGATCCTCCCGGTGATAGCGCTTCTAAAGCCTAAAGACCAAATTCACCGATGTTTCCAATGTCACCTGCATCGCAACCGATCTCGCCTGGGTTTGCCATCCCGGCGCGTAGTATTCACTGCCGCGACTCTCGCAACCTGCAGACGAACCCCGGGATGCTTCGAGGCGATATTTGGAAACTAGCATCTAAATTTTTACCAACCTTTCGAATTGGTTAAGGACACTATCGTCAATAACTCGAAAAGTTATTGATCGATCGCTCAATAACTCGAAAAGTTATTGAGCGAGCGGTGTCAAAATTTAATGCAGCACTCCTCAAGTCGCTGGCATTATCTTACTAAATTTTCGTCCGAATCGAATCAGCCAAACCGCCGTTATACGGGGAAACGCGGATTTCACGTTTTCCGCGTTTTCAGCCGTTCCGCTCATTCGATCTCGGCCAAACCTCAAAACCACGCTAGAGCATCCCTAGGTGGTTATCATATCCAAATTCGAGCCGAATCGAGCGACTACTAACGGCCAGCTAAGCCATAATAGGTTTTCACGCCTTTAGAGCTGCCGCCGAAAGTATCCGCGCGATCTCGGTCGAACCCTCCAACCACGGCACTATGTCATGCCGTGTATCTAAACACAAAATTTCAAATGAATCCATCCAGAAATAAGACCTCCGTAGGCCCTTTTACGAGGACGGGGAAAATATCACCTATCTTTCCAATTTCCCCGTCTTTGGGCCGAAAGGACCGTCTTCCGAAGGTTCCACCGCTCTGGCGGTTGGATACGATGCTCGGCAGCCCAAGCCGAGACCGCGGGTAGAGTTTTTCCCAAACCTGGAAAAAACTCCAAAATCCCCGACGCCGACATCGACAATCCGTAGAGGCCAGAGGGGAACGAGTCCCGGCGTTGATGGGGACGATGGATGATTTTGGTTCGAGATTTTGGCGGACAATTCAAGGCCCGGTCCGCCAAAAGTATGGAAATCCCACAAAAGTGATCGAACGTCTACTTTTGGCGTTTACAGTACTTCAGTGGGAGTACATGAGACGGAAAGCGATACAGAGCAATTGTGTAACAAATCTTATTCATGGTAAATAACTTGTATATGTTAATTGTGAACCTTTATTGTTTGTTAATTCTGTTCAATATATACTTTTAACATATCTTCCACGGTTTGATTGAAAAAACCCTGTCATCAAGCTCAAGAACTTTGGAGCTCAAGCTCACAGGCTCGCTTCACGAGGCTTCCGTCGAGGCTGCCATTCCTCGACGTGATATTGATAGTGCTTTGCAACCACTACTCGCTTAACGAGACAACCACCCGAGGTAGCCTAGCCTGAGGTGAAGACCCTGTTCGATAGCCCCCTGCATCGAAACAGCGGTAAACTCCAGGATCCACTTGCGACCTGCGAAACCGTCCGAGACTGACCACCTCCGACGAAGATCCTGTGCGATAGCCATTCGCATCGACACAGCGATACTCCAGGCTCCTCCAGAGACCTGCGTCCCGCCCGAGGTAGCCCAACCTGAGGCGAAGATCCTGTTCGATCGCCCCCTGCGACGAAACAGCGATACTTTCAGGCTCCTCCAGAGACCTGCATACCGTCCGAGGCTTGCGACCCTCCGACGAAGACTTTGATTCCGACTGTGCCGGCTCCATCGAGAGACCCGCACCTCGGTACAAAGTACACACATAGGCTCCTACGAGACCTACAATTCAGACTCCATTGAGATCTGCAAATCCGAGGCAATCTTCCTCGTCAAACTTCTAGGCGGTCACTCGTCGAGGCAACCTTCCTTGTCAAACCCCTACGAGGCATTTTCTTTCTGACCCACCGGCATAAAGCAATAGTACGCACGTTATTGTGGCAGCGTACTTCCAAATTTAGCAGTAGTTGTCCTTGCTTCTTAGGGCTCCCTCGAGAGACCCACATTTAATAGTAGAGTCAGTGTCTTCTACCAGACGTCTACAAGACTTTCGGAGCAAAAGAGCTTGTTCCGACATTGTCGTACGGGGTAAGATGTATCCCTGCGATGCGACTTCGATATCCAGTGCTACGAGGGTTGGTGCCTTCGAAGGTACGACAAATAATAAATCAGATCGTGACAATATCACTGTGCCCTTATTAAAGATATTTCTCATAGAGATTCCAAATAAACATGCGATGCTGTTTCTTAGACTTTGATGTTATGAATTCCAAAAGCAAAAATTTTTGAGGAATATGAGCATAATGTTAGTAAACCCGAATAATTTTACTAGAAACTCAAAGAATAATATTCTCGGATCAAAATGATATTGTTACAACCTTTTGTATGGGAAGACTCCTGTGAACATGTGCTCAAATAAATTAACCTCATTATTTATTTGTTAGTGGTTTGTACTTCTGAGCTTTATAAAGAAGTCGACGAAAATTAAAACATGTTCTAATTCGTGAAGAATGAAATAAATTCATGATATAACTATAATTCGTGACAAACTTCATTTGAATGCGAAGTTATTTACAAAGATTTGAAGAAATTTGGGAAAAAATTTGCAATGTAATTTTTATCTATTTCTTCATGAAGTTCTGAAATACCAATAATAAATAGTAAGGTTAAGGTACCAACTTCACCTATTTTTGGCCAGTTAGGGGACTTGTACAAATTACATAAGAGCATTTATTTTAATATTTGTCCCCCCAAACCCTCACGTAAGAAACCGTAAGTTTTGCAGTACCCCTCCCTCTATTCTTAGGTAAGATTTTTCTAATCGAAGGGGGTTAACAGCACGTTACATAAAAAAATATTCTGATTTTCTCATCCAATCCAATTAATTATTGATGGCAACCATGACCACCGCTGTACACACTTTACAGATTTATGAGTGAGCTACAAGGAGCCCACATAATCAGTGTTATTCAAATGAATCTTGTAAGTCGAATTAAATTGACTGCACATTAAAAATACATTTCCTTTTTAATGTTTTCATAAGGCTAATATATTGAATTATCTAAATAACTTTGTAAACCAAACTTTAAATTAAATTTTTATGAAAATTTCTAGGATGGGTGGCGCCCTAGAGTCCCCTCGCACCAGGCACCACTGGTAAAATCTCAGTCTAATGTCTTAAATTTTTTAAATAATTCCCAGACAATTTTTTGGATTTGTTAGGAATACAAATAATATACATTTTATAATTAATAACTTTATTACTTATCAGTACAAACATACTTGTTCGACAGAATATTTCATATTGTTGGTTCCTATACCATTACTACATGGTTTTCTCATTTTAAAGTAATTTAAAACGGTCGAGAGAAATTTTAAATCTTCAAATGAACTTAAATGCTGCAAAATTAAATTGTTTAAGTTGTTTAATGCTTCCATTACAGAATTATCTTTGGAAAGTAATAATTTCTGATAATTTGCATCTATTATGACGAAACTCCATTCTATTAATTTTTCATAGTTTTTCACTACATTCTTGACAGGAAGTAAATGACCATCCTCAGACCATAAAAAACATATGTAATTTAATAAAGTGACGACATTACTCAGGGTAAGTTCAGAACGTAGATATGGCAGAAGTAAAATTTCACTAAACGGTTTACATAAAATTTTGTCAATTAGTTCAGTTCTACTAATGGGTTGTAAATCAGATGGAAATGATTTTGACGGATGTTCCAACTGATTAGGAAATGCTGTACAATCTAAAACAGTTAAATATTTTAATAACTTTGCTATATATTTTTCAGGTATATCAGAAAAATAATCGATGCATAACGATAAGAAGTTAATATCTTGGTTTCTGAATATTACGATTAATAATTCTTCTAGAATTATACTTTCTGGAAGACCTTGCTTAAGTAGGTCATTCATTTTTAATTTAAGTGTTTCGGGGATCTGTTTATCCCCTAACTTAAACTTATGATCCCAAGAAACAATTTCTGTTTCCTGTACAAGAGTAACATCAGCATTGGTTTCACTTTGTATCGATTTGTGACTACCTATTAAGGCCGCTAGTTGTTCTGTTTCTAGATAATAGGGAATAACTGCTAAGTTTTGTCCAACTGGTAATAACAAATTATTTTCGTAGTTCCACAACTTCGCACCATTTGTAAACAATTTAAAAGACTGTTTTGATTGCGTCACTTTAAATTGAGTATTATATATAATTAGTATGGCCCCTTCTTCATTAGAATTTGCTCCAAACATAGCCATATAATTTTCATCTAAAGCTGATATGCAAACAGTGTATTTTGTCGAAATGTGTTGTATTACTGTGAATAACTCTCCTGGAAATGGCATGTCAGATTCTTCGAGAATGTATGAAAAAATTCTCCCATCTGACCCTGAAATAATAAGTAAATAAGTTATATAAGGGTACTTCAAGGGTATAATCTAGAACCCAAATGGTGTCGATTTAACCAAATTTGCTTAAACATCGCAAAAAACCTACAAGATGTTAAAATTTCTTTTTTTATTTCTTGTTTTCTCCACAACTCAGAACCCAGTTAACCGATTTGAGCAAAATTGCTGTTGCTTAGTTTCTCTTCATGCAGTGATTGTTCCTATTAAGTTAAATCATACATAAGCGTTCATTTTAATACAACCCTTTGTGAATATTCTGTAACTTTTTTGTATGTTTAAATTTTTACAAACAGCTATCAGAAATAGGTAGAGAATTTTATTCTACACAAAAAATCTATCAAAAGTCAAAATTATGCTCAGTTATGAAGATATTACAGAAAATATTTATTAACACATACCCCATATTTTTTGGAAATAACTACATATCCATAACATGACAATTTTGATAAGTTACTGTTTGTTTCTGAAAATCATGACTTTCCTTGGCCTTCTCACTGTCCAGATTTTAATCCGTTAGACTTATACTTTTGGAGTCATTTGAAAGGAATTGTTTACAACTCTGTAATACCCATAGACCACCTAGACTGGCTTATAGAGCGACTTTGGTGAAAACACTTAGGAGCCTGATTTGGAGCCCAGTGCTCAGTCGTGTCCTAGCATTTGACGTATACACATCGCTGTGATTTCAATAATTAGACGTTTTATCATGGGCAAGTGTATTGTAAAACATTGTATAAATAGAAGTGATCGAGTTGGTGAAGAGAGGCGAAAAGTTTCCTTCTTTAGGTAAGTAAAAAAAAAGGAATATATAAAAGGTAAATATGTAGGCCATTTTTCGGTTGACGTCACAAGTTTCCAGGGTTAGCTTTATAATTTTGTTCGCCCATATAGTGTAGTGATTAACGTGATATTGTTATTATAAAATAATGAATGAATTACTGTAAAATATTTTTAGTAATTATTTACTTTGCGAGTCTCAAATTTTTATGAAATTTTACCTATTCCCGCCATTTCGAGATAGCTGAAAATTAATTAAATATTTTTTTCAATTGAAAAAATCGCAAACAAAACTAATTTCAGATTCATGTTCAGCACCCTGGAAAAGGAGAGTTGGCAAAATGTGATTAGAAAAATCAGAGAGTTTTGTGACAAAAAAATAATAATCAAGTACGCTTCGATTTTTCAAACCTAATATTTAAATTTTTATAGATTTCCAAGGAATGTTGACATAAAATGGAGATGGGTGAAGGCTATTAAAAAACAGGACTGGACACTAGCATGTACATTATAGTATATATCGGCGGTTTCGTAATAATAACAAGTTCTCTAATAAAGCCAATAAAATGTGAAGACTGTAAATAGTTTAATGTCAAATACACAGTATTCGTAGTCAATTAATTTTTATTAAAGATTGTGGTTGTTTGACGTATTCATCTCAAGATGTCATAGTAATATGCCAAGAAACAGAAAAATTAATAAAATTTTTTAATAATGATGAAAGCAGAACACCTAGGCTACAGAAAAATAAAATTGTTTATAATGTATTAAAAAACTTTTTGAATGTGAACATATTTGAAAATTTGCATGAACATCAATTTGCATGAACATGAATTTGATAGAACTTGTAAGGGAAATAAATTAATATTATTTAGAGGACAATAAATATATTTAAATTATTTTGTAGTTTTATTTAATATGAAACTAAAATATACTTTTTTCTGAATTACAAACTTAAAATTGAATATTTGTCATAAGATGCAATATAATGTTTAACATGTAATAAAAATATTACTTAATCCGGATCTGCTTAAAGATGCGCGCAATCAGATTGCCTTCCACACTCCCCTTCCCCGGATTTTGCATTCACTGGTACCCGTGCATTAGAATTAGATACGGCCAGTCTAGGTGGTCTGTGGTAATACCTAATATGGGAGAAGAACTTTGGGATAGAATAAAAGATGCCATACGACAAGTCAAAGGAACGTATAATTCGTTTCCTATTTTCAATAGTTTCATAAAATGTTTAAGAAAATGCGTCGAAGAGAAAGGGGGACATGTAGAACATTTGTTATAAATTGGTAGACTTTTTATTACTGCCACCTTTCAGTTTATTATGTTATTAATTATGTTATTTATTATGTTTATTATAGATACGTAGTTATTTTAAAAAAATATGGAGAATGTGTTAATAAATATTTTCTGCAATATCTTCATAACCGAGCATAATTTCGACTTTTGATAGATATACATTTTTTGTGTATTCTCTACTTATTTGTGATAGTTAAGTGTAAAAATTTAAACATACACCAAAGTTACAAAGGGTTGTAGTGAAATGAACGCCCTGGATGATTTAACCTAATAGGAACATAACCACACAAGTAAATTTGGTTAAATCGAAACGATTTGGGTTCTAGTCAAGTATGTAACATTCGTTAGGTGACACCCTGTATAAGGAAAAATAAAAAAAGACAGTGGTACATTTAAAAGTGGAATATTTAAAAAGCTTATTAAACCTTAAAAATTTGGCACTTATAGACAATGCAATGCAATAATTTTCAAAAGTATTTGGAGATGCGCAATAAATCCATTTATATACTTACATAAAGTTAATAAATGTGCAGTGTTTTCCATAACATGAATAACACAGCCCTTCAAACTGTATAAAGTGTCTCTGTATAGCTTTTTCTTTATAAATACACATTTTGCTGAATTATACTTTGTCCAATATAAATAAAGCTCATCCTCAGATCTAACAATTAATCCAACATAAAACTGATCATTTACTTTTGCATATAGGACATCATCAATTTTTTCAATGTTTGAAATTACTCCCTCAAAATTTAACGTTTTCCTTGATTCTAGAGCTTCTGCAAGAGTATAAAGATTTCCATTTTCAAATAAAACAAATGTATCCTCATTATTGGAAAATATTGTATATATTTGTTGATTAAACTGCAAATATAAACACAAAATAACAGTCATATTTTCAATACCCTTATCATAGTACCTTGTATTTCTTCAATTTATCTAAATTTTCGTCTTCATAACTCCACAATTTAATGTACGACTGATTGAAAGCTGCTACATACTTAGAACTTTTCTTGTCATATAATACTGGGGAGCTAAATTTTTCTTTTGTCTTCCAGCAACATACTTGTTTTTGATCCGAAAGCTGTGACAAATATATTCTTTTTAGTACTACAATGTGTTTCACTATTTATTAAAGTAAATTATTGATAAAAATTTTATATGTAACATATATTGTGTATCAGCTGCTGTACTTTTACTTTATTAAAGGGTAGGTATTATGCTAATTTAAATTCATTTTAAAATTTAAATGAAGTAGAATTATCTTAATTAATAACCAGACATGTCATTTTATAGTCGTTGCTAGAGGTTTTGGGATAGAGGCAGTAACTCCGAAGTGCACAATTTCTTACGCATGACTAGTATTTTGCTAGTAGATGAGAAAAAAAAATTGTTCTGCTCTGGAGCAGACCGGGAAAATTCGGGACATAGCCGAAAAACTGAAAAAAAACATGAAAAGTGTTGAGAATTTCACAAGCATTCAAAGGACCAAAGTTATAGAGCATAAAATTGTCTGCAAACAAGGTTTCTATAGATTTTTTCATACAGTGCGTTATTTACGAAATATTTAGGGATTTACATAAAATGACGATTCTTATGCAAATCAGTCAGAAAAACATGTAATTCAAAGCGGCGCTGCGCTAAATGTGCGACTACTATTTCATTTCTTGATGAAAATACATGAAACAAAGTTTATTTGAAAGGGGGAGCTTCAAACTTTCCTTATGTGTTCCATTTTACAGAGAAAAATAAATCCTTCTTTAAGAAAACTTTATGGGATCATCGAGACTAGAGCTTAGTTGGCAGTCAAACTTTACATTTTTTTTACAAAGTTAAAGGGAAAACCAATCAACTAAACCAAATTGGGCAAATATTTAGCAATATAAAACCAGTTACATGCATTTTGTATTAATCGATCCCGGCAAAAATTTGCCTGTTTTATTTTATTTATAGTTTTGCGCTGGCTCCACATTTTCTTCCAGCCTCGGAGAAAACATCTAAGTATTGTGTCTCAGTATATAATATATAGTATAAGAATTTATTCTTTGAAACCCGTTTTTTACGAATATGACATGAAAAAATCATTATAGCTCATTCAATATTTCCAAAGGTTTGAGAAACACCCTAAAAAAGAGGCAGGAATGAAAACCCCCATAATACAGATTACCAGAAAAGAATACAGTAAGTATTAATATTACAGCAAATTGTAGCTCAGAACCTATGCTTTCCATTTATTATACTGGTTTTCTACCTGAATATTTGGACAACAATTTTCCGATGTGAAAAGGTGTGAGTAATTCAATGTCACCTATCATCAATTTTGACAATAAGACAGAATAGTACACTATGTAACGAGCGAGGAAAAGTTGCCAATAGCGTCACGGGGGTGCAGTTGGTACCAGCTAGACGGTGCTCCACCTCATTGTGGAAACGAAGTATCCTGTCAATTAAATGAAATGTTTGAAGACAGGTGGATTAGACATCTAGGATCCTGGGATTGACCACCAAGATCTCCAGATCTGTCACTACCAAATTTTTATATCTGGGGTGCAGTAAAAGAGAAAGTGTACTCAACGCCAGTTTATTCCAAAGAAAACCTAGTTGCCTTTATAAGAGAAGCCTTTGAAACTTTACCTGCTGCCCAAATATCTGGAGCTGTTACAGATGGGGTAACAAGAAGGATACACAACTGTTTACAAGTAGATGGCGGTCACTTAGAGCAAATTAGAAAATAATAATTATTTGTATTATGTAATGTAAATGTAAATCTGTTAATAAAATTATTTTTAATTTATCCCTACTGATTGGTAGTCAATGAGTGCATCTCTTATTAGATACTCTGCAAGTTGTATTTATTATCTTCTGACACTCCGATGAATAAATAATAAATTTAGATTGTCAGTATTTGAATAGATGTTAACGTTTTCCATTCTTTAACAATAAATAATACTCAAATAAACATTCACTAAATGTGTTAAATTGACAATAAACCAGTGATAGATTAGGTGCTTGTTTTGAAGTTCCACTAAAAATTTCACAACCATCCTCGCAAGAAATTATGCGATACGTTGACTTCACGAAAAACAGTAAATACCTTAAAAACGAGAAGAGATAGGTATAGGGTATAGGGAACCATTATGCCATTCGAAAGAGAACAAAGTTGTTCATCAGGTTGCGCAAAAATATACAGTAAAAAAAATAAGTTAAGACGGTTTTAAGTTGACTAAATTCGGCATTAAATTTCTACCATCCTGTATGAAATTAAGTCATTTTGAATTATGACAGGGAAGCTTAGAGTTAGTTATGTCCCTTATAAATTTTATCGCTCTAACTTGATTATTGTAAAATATACATCTTTTTGAATTAGGCAGTACTTTTTTAATTTTTTTTTTAAAAGAATTAAATATATCAAAAACGGTTAACTTTAAGAATAGGAAACCTTTATGAAAGTTCACCTAAAAATTGGCGTAGAATCCAAAATTGCAATAATATACAGGGTGTTATATTTAAAATAACGAAGATGACGTCAACTTCCGGTATAACCGGAACCGTTAGGTGGACGCCAATATTTTAGTTGAGAAGGGCATGTCCGAAAACACTATTGCCCACATTTTCTAATGTCTCATCACCGTGGGACATCCTGTATATAGATTGGTTAACTCAAAATTGAATTTTTGGGAACAATTAATTTTAATTTAAAAGTACATTATCTGAAAATTTTAATTTAAGGCAATTAGCTAATTATAGTAAGCCAGAATTTTCGATAATGAAAAAACACTGGTTGACAACTGATAAATGGTTTATAGTAGAACAGGTTAAAGAAGTTCCAACAAAAATCACGACCTAAATACAGTCCAAAAAATACTCACCCTGTATTTTCCAGCAATATTTTTTCCCAATGTAACAATTACATTTTCTTTTTCTGAATCTTCAGAAATGCCTAACAGAGTTTTGCTTTCAATTAGGGGACACAAACCATAATATGATCCTAATTTTGCCATAATGTATGCATATGTTTTTACATTAAAAATAGTTACTACAAATTAACAACATTGATATAACAAATTAGGGTACCTATATGAATTCTCTCAATACAGAAACATGCATACAAATCATTTGTGCATTATGCATTAAAAAATATTTAATGTACAAAACGTACACTGATTATTGAATAGTGTGTTCAAATGTTCAAAATTTATAGGTTATCCACAATAAATAGGACGTTTTTGGCGACCCAAACCAAGGTCGCTAAAAGGAGTCGGTTGCCAAACCACATATAATTTGGTTAGCTTCAGAGATGCACGGTACGATACAATTTTTCTGAGTACCAGGGCCAGGTTTTTTCATTCCAATACTCGATATTTTGTACCGATATTACGGCTTACGATACAATACGATCCGGTACATTTTCTGGCAATACCTATCGGTACTGAAGTAAACCTTAATGCGCGCGCCATTATTCCATGGCTAGAAATTGGCCTCAATGATTTGGGATCGAGGGGGATTATCCCTCTTTATCCTGCCTCATCTCGTGTAGGCCTGGACAGCCTTCGTAGGTGGGCCCCATCCGTCGTCTACCCCGACCGCAAATGCGGCCGGTGTAGGCGCTTTGTGGGACCTCCTTTTGTCCTGGCTGGGCCCCGCCGGCTAGGGCCCTTTCTTCTGGCGCTCTTCTTGCTTCGCCGGCTCGTCTGTGTAAACCCCGGGGGTAGTGTCATGTTTATGTGTGGTATGGTTGGGTAGGGTAGTGCGGCTATGCAGCCTGGGATGCGCTTTGCTAAGG